AAATATATGACATGATCGAAGAATACTTAAAATATATAAAAACCAGTTACGAGTGATTTGCTTGACTGAAAACAAAAGAACACCAAACCATATAGACCATGCCATTGTCTTTGAATAATGAATGATTCCAGAAGGTGAATCTATATAAAACAAAGTAATGGAATTTGATATGAGTTAATGATCAGATGACCAGAAAATAATGACATGAGAAAAGAAATGAACAAACCTTCTTTGAAGACCTTACCAAAGAGCGAATGACAGCGTTTAGTTATGTATGGAGTGTAATAAGTACTGTGTATTTATTTGCATAAGACATAAAGTTTCTCTTCCCAATTCATGGTAAAATATTACAAGTTATTTATAGGAAATGGTAAATGTAAGTTTGCTGACTGTGACGTCACAATTCAACTGTCGATGGCCACTCTGCCAATAATGTGTATAAGATATACTGGGAAGATATGTCGTAAAATACAAAACAGGCAAGGCCGATAAGAAAGGATGAAAGAAGAGAGTTGAGGGTTGTTTGGTAAATGGTAAAAACCACATAAACTTGAAACCGTAGTAATGGAGAAGAAAGGAGGTGACAGCTTGATATTTAGGAATATTGATGGTATTGGGACGAGTGAATCTGTACTGATTAATATTGATACATTAAGTAGACAAAAAAGACGATTTTATCGTAATTTTGTACGAAAGTCTCCTAAAAATGAAAGAAAACTTCAAAAGATTATAAACCCTATGGGTTCATATCAGGATTTGTATAAAATATATTACTTGATCCGGCGTTTATATACTACTGGCTACCAAGTAGTATACAAGCTGAGAATGCAATGGCAAGGTCCAATGTTGCTTTTATTGATGTTTGCGACTTGTGAGGACTTCCACGATATGTTATTAACACAGAGTTGTTATTATACTTTGAATTTGTAATTTGTTTTTAAAAGTGTGTTCATTTCCCGTTCGATCTCGGTGAAGCTCAGAGAGATCTTGAGCGTTTTTGTTGGTCGATTAGATTTTGGTTCGATTAGCCAATTCGATTTGGTGCAATTTATATAAGATTAGGGGTCATATACAAATATATAGCCTACTTAGAAACTGTGGTTTATGCGGGGCAAATTTCGTTTTAAGACCTTTTCTGTGGGAAAGTGAAATTTTTTGGGGCATATAAAACACCCCGTATTTAAAATAGGTATATTTTGCATTACATGTCAAACATGCTGTAGTGCATAATACGGGTTTTAAATAGAAATTTTATATGTTTGGATATCAGTTACCTCACTTTGTCCAACCCTTCACTGAAAAATGTGAAATCGAGGTTTCTCCCAGGTATCGAGGCTACAATCTCGCGAATCTCGTAACTGACCATGTTAGTTTGTCACATGAAAAAGATATGGACATGCCTGTTGGATTTATTGCTTTTATCGAAGAGGTTGAATATTCTCAAGTCTCTGCGTTTTGTAGCGATTTCTATTTGGATGTTCTCGATACTGTAGAATTCGGAGGTTTTTTGTTCATTGCCTTTTTTGAGTTATCTGAAATACTGGACTGTTACATATTTTGCCGCCTGAACGGATTTACTTGCACCATGTTCATTGGTTGCTGAATAGATCTTCTTCGACTTACTTTGTGGATCAATGGTAAGAATAATTTTAATGTTTGACATTAATTATCCACCTCCTGATTACTTTCTTATAGAGACAGTCTGAAGATGAAGAAATTAGATTTTGGGATGAAGAATACGTGTTTTCATGATTACTGTTTATCAGCTTTTTGTAAACTAACTTTTGCTTTTAATAAGATGTTGAACTAAAATCTTTTGTGTACCAACCAGGCTAATGAAGACGGGTATACACCATGCAGTGTGCAATCAGGGGAAATTTTGCCTAGACAGCAGCTGTCGTCTACTCTTCTTTGCTTTTCGGCAGCAATCATCAATATTATTAATTTATAATTAATTGTTTTTTCTTAAATATTGCAATCTTTTCTTTGAATGCGATTCACAGTATGAACACTAAAATAGAAAAGACTGAACCTTTTTGCAATGAAGTTAATGAAAGGTTTACAAGGATCGGTAGAGGTAGTTTTATGTTCCTGATATTTTGTTTTTAGAATGTTTTATTAAGCCAATCATTTACCTAAAAAAAACTTTGTTTTCAAATAAGCCAGAAAGATATTTTTATGTTTCTTAATTTATTGTTTTATTTTTTGTTTTGTTTATGGATTTTGTGTTTTTGCATGCAGTTTTAATTAGATTATGGTTTTTGTTTGCTTGGGCAAATAGCACCTTAAATTATGATTATGATTTTCAATTATTGTCAGTTTTATTGATGGGATGGTGTGTCCTCTGAAATTAGCTTTAACATAGCTCAGAAAGAGCTTTCAGAATTGCTTAGAGTGAAGTGGAGCTGATTGCATCGAAAGTGAAATTTCTTCATTTCTCCAAACTTTAAAATGCATTTACCAACAAACAGTTTAACTCAGAAAACAATCTATCCATTAGTGTGCTGGAAAGCTCAGAAAGAGAGCATGATCATACAACCAACATTTACTTCAGATGACACAATCCCTTTCAGTTGCTCCAAACACTGACTCGTATCCGATATAGATTTTTATCATAAATATTTTGTTTTCAAATTGCCATCATCACATCTTTTTCTCTTATTCTGAACAAAATTTGAGAATATCAGTTAATGTATAGGTTAAGATGATAGTTTGTTTATCGAACGAAGCCTGTGATATAGAATAATCAAGGTTTCTTGATTCTTATGTTACAGAGAAACTGTAAAGAAAAAAAATGTTTGTTAAAGTAGTTTGAAACAGATCTTTCAAACACATTATTAGAACATAGTGATACAAGTATCATAGAACCAGAAGAAAGCTCTTCATCAAACAAGCCTGACTTATCAGACGAAAACTTGCAACAGTCAAAGCCATCTACCATGGCGGCAGTAGACAAATGTCCTGCACCAAAGAAACGTGCCATTGAACCAGAAGTAAGAGCTTCATTAAGCAGTGAAAGTGAGGATTACTCACCACCAAATGAGTCTGATTGGGATGAGTCCAGTAGTCCTAGTCATGTATCTGTCAGCTGTTGCTCATCAGAGGAAAGCGATGTTTTTCCCCAATATCTCAAACTTCTAACAAAGTGAAAGATTAAGTTCAAGTGAGGATGAAATGAAACCAAGTGAAGATGACATTTAAGGGCTACTGATAATCCAATACTGCATGAGGATACTTAAAAGCAATACATCAAAAACTGGAAAGAAGAAAAAGGGGTGACGTGTTTGTAACAACTATCAGCATTGTGGTCTCTGCAAAATGAAAGTTTCAAATTTTTCCCAGCATATGTATTGAAATAGGGATTTGCCAGGCCATGCTCGATGTGAAGAGTTGCAGGAAATTTTGTCTGAAAAAAATAAACAGAGAGCTAATGATTTACGCACATTGTTAAGGGCAAAATTTAACAATGCATACAATCAACACACTGTAGAAAATGGTCGAGGTGAATTCATATTAGAAAGAAGACCCAATTATGATTTTAAAACTACTGACTTTGGTCCTTGTCCAGGCTGTCCTGTGGATTTCGTTAAAGAATCTTCAAAAACATAACTCATGTGTGAATAGGCAAACCTTTACAACATGCACATCACTAATAACTCAGTCTGATGTAATTTCCAAAAGAGTATCTGAGAAGGCTAGTCCTTTATTAATTAAAGAAGTGTTTAGTCTTATGAAAAGGGATATGATTGAAAATGTGTCTCGGGAAGATGGGCTAATTATAATGTTAGGTAACCAATGGCTCCAAATATAGGAAATCGTCTTAAACGAGGAACATACACATCTCAGATCATGCGCTTATGCGCAAGATTGCTTATCAATCTTAATGGGGATTTTTGGGATTATCTGAAGCCAAAATATTTCGAATCGATCGTTAAAGCAACGTATAAAACTGCTGAGATGATTGATGATGAAAATTTAAAAAAACCTAGTAATGTGAGGAAGCTAAAATATACTGGACCTTTGAAATGATTTAAGCAATAGTTTTAATTTCTGCTGAAATACCAAAATTCAATAAGATTAAAATACATTTATTATGAGAAATATTTGTCAACATAGATTAATCTAGCTAAAGCTTGATTTAAATTCCAGATTAAGTGATTTTGTGAATCGTGAAAAAGGAATTTCACCGCAACATTTAGTTGGAGAGCGAACAAACTTTGGAATGAAATTGCTAGAAGAACAAGAGGTGGTAACCGTGCGTGGAGATGGTGAGATTCAAGATACTCAAATGATCGTTGTGTAACTGAAGTTCTGTATGATTTCACTGTCTCAATTTTCAAACTAAAAATATCTTAATTTTTGAATTTTCAGATTGGGAGAGGATTACCGGTAATTATAACAGGACTGGTAAAGGCTGGTTAAATTATCTTGTGAATTCGAAGTTCGAAAAGAGGCTAGAATAGAGTCTACAAATCCTTATGTGTTTGTTGCTAAAGGTTTGTCAAAAGCATTATTTCTTGTTCTTGTTCTCGGAATTGTGAATATTTGGAGCATTGGTCAACTTTTATTGAATCTTAAACCATTGAATATTGCGACTTGTCCTTTTGCTTAACTATGATTTAGTGCATAAATGTATTTTAAGGGGAGTTTGATTTTCTTCAAGGTAATGGAGTTATACGTGCCTGCGATGCCTTAGCTAACTGTTGTCAGAATGCTGCCTTGGAACGTCCTGAACTATTAACTAGCACAAGTCTACGCAAGTATATGGCAACAATAACGCAGGTTTGTGAATCTTTAATCTCTAATATATATATACATGTATAAGCATATTAAAATGCATTAAACTGCATGTACAGTTTTATGTGTTTGTAAAGAGAAACATTCAGGAAACAAACATTAAATGACAATAGTTGCAAAATAATCATGTTTCAAACTTGTATCGTCAATGGTTGTTTTGTCTTTACGGTTCTTGGGTTGAAGTCAAATGAAATGGAATGGGTTTTAGACCACTTAGGACATACTATGGATATTAATAAAATGCATTACAGGCTCTAATACTGCTCTCCTACTAGAATGCCATTCTTGCTATGGTGCATGTATTGGGAGATATATATAATTTGTCAAGTTCAAAAACATTGAATAAATTACCTGTTGTCCATTTACAAGATGTGTACCGGTAGTTTTAGATTTAAGCATTGCAAGGTCGTTTCTACACAATTGCCCTATCTACAGATATACGGACAAAAGTCGCACTTCACAACTTCCAATTGTACAAATCGCACTGCACAATTCAAAAAGTCGTATGGATGGGTCCGTCCGTCCACATATGTTGTATGCTCGATAGAGGCTACAGTTTGTATCTTGATGAAACTTTGTATGCATGAATATATTGATGAGATCTCGGTCAAGTTTGAAATTGGTATTAATCGGAGGAACGGTTTCAAAGTTATTGCCCTTGACTTAGCAAAAATGCGTTAAATTTGGCTTGTATGCACGATAAAGGCTACAGTTTTTATCTGATCTTGATGAAACTTGGTATGCACGTATATATTGATGAAATCTCGGTCAAGTTCGAAATTGGTGATAATCGGATGAACGGTCGCAGAGTTATTGTCCTTCACTTAGATAAATGTGACTTGTATGCAGATAAAGGCTACGATTTTGATTGCATCTTGATGAAACGTAGTATATATGTATATATTGAGGAGATTTGGTCAAGTATGAAGTTAGTAATAATTTGAAGAACGATTTCAGAGTTATTGCCCTTGATTTAGTAAAAACCCTACAAATTTGACTTGTATTCATGAAACTGGGTGTAGTTTTTATCTGATCTTGATGAAACTTGGTATGCATATATATATGCATAAGATCTCAGTCAAGTTGAAATTGGTAACAATCGGGTGAACGGTTTTGGAGTTATTGCCCTTGAATTAATTCAATGCATCTAATTTGGCTTGTAGGCCTGATAGAGACTACATTTTTTATATGATCTTGATGAAACTTGGTATGAGATCTCAGTAAAGCCTGAAATCGGATGATAGACACTACTACAGACTTTATCATTTCTGACAGCTGGAAGTGGGCGTATGTTACCTTGCCTGGCAAACTGTCTTTATATTATTTCAGACTTTTACCTCTTCCGAGAGTGAATGTGGAACAATTTATAATTAAGAATAAAGCATTTTTCTTGTTATTCAAGCTACTAACATTACATTATTTGCTTTCATTAACTCAATTTGTCAACGATAGAATCTAGCCGTTTGCTAAGCATTGAATCAAGTTGTTTCCCTATCTTTTCATGTAGAGTATCAAGATTGATGTCACTGGTGTTTTTAGAAGATTCTGTGTCCGATTCGGTCTTAAAATTAACTTGTCGATGCGAAAAGTTCTTGGAGTCAAATAGACTTTTCTGGTTTTCTAAAAATAGTCTCATATGTTTCAAAGTGTCTTGAACTGATTTCGGATTCTTTTCCATAGCTTTTTGCGCTGCTTCCTTCTCCTTACAGCCACGGAGAAAGCATTCAATAGCTATTTGATTTCTAGTTTTACTGCTAGCATCCGTATAACCGTCTATGGCAAAAATTGTATTTATTGTGAATTCGTTTTACTGCGTTTGACTCTTCGAGCATTGCTTTCTCGTAACGCTCAAGCTCGGTTTTTACGGCGTTTGGCGTATCCTTCATATTTAAAGTCTTGGTTGGTTGTAGTCAATTTACTAGTAGTCATGGTGGGTAAATCTGGTAAGTCTGCCCTAGGTTTTGATTTATCTTCTACCTGTCCCATACGTTTTCTATTTGTGAAACTTGATTTGACAAAGTTACAAACTGTGTCGACATATTTTGCACTTCGTCCATGCGCCTATCTGATTACTGCGTAATTTGTGGGTGTGGTTAACGTCAAATTATCAAGGTCAGATAATGGATCAGGTATTTCAAGTCCTGAAATTTCACCCGTCTCAATCATTTCTATCCAATAATTTGGTCTTAAATTTCCAATACTTAAGATTTGCTCTAAAGTTATTGGGGTATCTTGACTATCACGAATTTGAATTATTCGTTCGGCTATCTTACCCCCTGCATGTCTTATTTTTTTAAACTCTTCCGTCGTAGCGATTTGTATATTAATTGATTTCCCTACACCAGCCATGTTTGTTTGAATGTCAAAAGAGAAATGTTAAAACATCTCCGGACGGCGGAAATGTCGAATACAAGGTAATAACATAAATGACACCAAATGTAGCAGAATCGCTACATGGCAGAGGAGTAAGTACTCAACTCTGCTGTGGGTAAAGTATGGTGTTGGAAATGACAACAAGTAATAAGTTAAACTTTATATACACTTAAATACAATCAGGTTAAATAGAAAATACGGTCGTACATTCAATGCAGCTCCTAAATCTGTTGTGTCGAACTGCACGCGTGGTTTGGTTTATATAGCCAGTCATCGGCTGCTGATTGGTTGAGCACGCACGTGCATTCATAACAACTACTGCACGTGTTTGGTCTCGTTCGGATACCAGTCTTCATAAATAGGCGGAGATTGCCGATGTGAACTCGTAAGCTTGTTGTACCAGTACCTGGATAATCAAGACTGTAAACAAGGGAGATCAACTTCCGTAACACACAGGGTGTATTCTTTTTGCTACACCGGAGTACTCCGGTTGACTCCGAATCACGAAAATGACTGTTCTTTTTAAAAATCCTAGTTCTCCGAATAAAAAGAACAACGCGGAGAGTTCTCCGAATTGGTCCGTTTCTCTCCGCCCCTTGACATGGCGGCAAACATGAGGTTAGTAAATAATTCACCACTTTTTTTTTGGTCTTGTGTGTACAAAACATTCATTTCCATGGGTTTTGTGAAAGAAAACAATTACACGGTTATATTCAGCAGTTAATTCCGAATTGTCGCTGCATGACATGAATCAGCTATATAATATGATTGCATATATATGAGCCTCTGAGTCTGAGTGCAATAGGTTATGCCAGAAGGGTCTATCTCAAACCATGGTTTGAAGTGTTGAGAAATAATAAACTTTCAAGGCTTACAAAACAAAATATTCTGTTTTGTACTAATTTGTAGATCACTGTATCACTATACAATGGTCACAGGGGCTCATAATAGGCCTATAAAGGCAAAATGATATTCTATTGTGGACTAGGTCCAGTCTATAGCCATAGGCCCTATTCTGAATTCTGATCATAATATTGTATCAATCCCTTGCCCTTGTCCAGTTAGGTATGAATGTGTGTGCATTTAAGTCACACACCAATTGTGAAAGTTATCTCTTATCTTAATTTCTTATTTTCTTTTTTATAGTAATCGTTCGGAAGCATCAGATAAATTGGTAAATTATCAAATTGTTTATGACGGTCAGGTTATCTCTGCCCTCCTAACAGAAGAAGATGGAGAAAAAATTTTGAATGGGGGTAAGTTACATTTACAATTGATCTTGTTATGATATCTGTCATAATAATCTGATAGAGATTTAGTTTATCAATACATAATCCATTAAAATATACCTTACATATTGTAATATTTCTTTCTATTTCTACAAACAATTTCGTTTCTGAGACTTTCATACGATTTGTCCAACAGATGGTGAATGTGATTGACATCTTTATAATATTTTTTCAAAAAATAAATTGACTTTTCAAAACTTTAATTGACTTATTGTGTATTTTCAGATCCAGATATGTTACAAGCTGTTATAAATTCAAAAGAAATTGAGAAACATGATCATGGTAAGTTCATTTTGAATTCACTAGCTACATTCATCATCCTATATATGTAGCATGCTGCTTAGTTTACAAAAAATGAACACAGAAAAACAATATTTGTTATCGAGTTATTGCCTTGTTCTTTAAAATATGTTCATTTCTCTGAGCTTACAAGCATTCTAGAAGTCACAAGTTATTCATATTTATTATCCTGCCATTCAAGCGGGTGTCTATTCATATGCTTATTCAAATTCTTAAAATCTTGCTTTGTGTTTTAGTACATGATAAACCATCCTGCAGTAGTAGTAGCACACCAATTAACTCTGCATCAACATCAAAAACTGAGCACTCAAATGAAACCACTAAAGGTATTAATTTTTGATCATATATGCTTCTATAAATTTAAAAGTTGCAGAGAGGCAAGTCACAACTGCAATAAAACTCTCTTAAATTATAGAAATATAATTTAAGTGAATATTTAAAAAATGAACGATTAACGTGCCAAATTGAACAAGCTGCCAAAGAAAATTGTGATACATCTATATACATATATTCATATTATATGAAGCTTTTAAATAATCTTTTTTAAATGTATTTATATTTCAGAAAGTGATTGGACGCCTAAAAACACCCGTTATCTAATATCCTTGGTTCGTCAAAAGTTGTATACTGAGGAAGGCGAAAAGTTGATTTGTAAGTCAGGAATATGGAAGGAAATAAGCTTAAAATTAAAACAAAATGGCCACATTCACAGCAGTGAAAGATGCAGGGGAAAGTGGAGGACATTAATAACCTCGTATAAGAAAATATCCGACTCAAATAAACAAAGTGGAGAAAATTTAAAAACTCACGAATTTTTTGATGAGTTGTCATTTTTAGATAAAAGTGCGGATGTTGAACCTGCTTACATTTTAGAGTCAAGTAAAGATTGAAAAAATAGAAAATGATTCTAAAAGTGACGATGATGAACAAGCACCATCACTTCATAAAAAAAGTAAAAAAAACTACCAAAGGGAGAAAATCAACAGTTGATTCGGTAATTGACTACTTAAAAGAGCAGAAGAAAAAAGCAGAGACAGGAACAACATGATCAAAAGATAGCTTGCCAGGCAAGGTAACACACGCCCACTGGCAGCTGTCAGAAATGATTAAACAGTCTTTAGTGACTACAGGGTTGCACAATATAGCTAATAGAGTGAAACGCCAAGTCAGATACGATATTTCGGTGAAATATTATCCGATCATCGCGAAAATCGATAGGGATCATCTTCATAATAACGTTGACATACAAAATAAAAATCAAAAGAATCTGTAAACAATTGTAGCCTGTAGAGTGAGCACGAGTTGCACAATATAGCTAATAGAGTAAAATGTCAGGTCAGACACGATATTTCGGTGAAAAATTATCCGATCATCATGAAAATCGATAGATCATCATGAAAATCAATAGGGATCATCTTCATAACGAGATAGACATACAAAATAAAAATCAAAAGAATCTGTAAAGAATTGTAGCCTGTAGAGTGAGCACGAGTTGCACAATATAGCTAATAGAGTAAAACGTCAAGTCAGACACGATATTTCGGTGAAAAATTATCCGATCATCACGAAAATCAATAGGGATCATCTTCATAACAACATTGACATACAAAACAAAAATCAAAAGAATCCATAAAGAACTGTAGCCTGTAGAGTGAGCACGAGCCAAATGTGAACGGACGGACGGACAAACGGACCGACGGGGTGATTACAATATACGCCCATCTTACGTGTGGGCGTATGAAAATGGAACTAATGGCATCTCTCGTCAGGGCAATTACCCCTAAAAATGATTAGATTCGAAAAAGGTGGTTGTCTTCCCTGTCCATCCATTAACAATTTGCTCAGTAGGCACAATTCTTGAAAGGTTATCAAGAGATTGCAATCAGGAAAGTAAGAATCCTGATTTAAAAAAAAAAACTAACACATTTGAAAAATGTTTACTATACTTTTGTTCTTGAAAGAATATTTTATTTTTGTAGTTTCATTAGAATACGTTAAATTTTAAGTGTGTTTATAGTCATTAGTCAGTGGTTTTTGACTTTAAATATTATTTTATTTAACACATAATGTTATTGTTGATTGTTATTAAACTGTTATTATAAGTTTTCAGCAATCTCATCTCTTTTTGCGAGACCTGCAGCCCCATTCTCATTATTATTGACATCATTATCCTGACCTTCGTCAGGCATTTGAACGAGATCTTCTTGGTGTTACAATACTTAAGTCTTGGAAATCTCCCTTTAAGTAAAGCAAAGGCTCTTTCTATGGCCTGTCGTTTTGATGAGAAAGATCTGTTAAATACCCGTTGGGTACGATTTAGATGTCCATTGTCACGATAAGGAGTTAATAACCATCCTCTTATTGGATATGCTCCATCACCCAAAAAATGATATTGCTCAGGTATTGAAGGACCAATATTTTGCCATACATCCGAATTTCTTAATACTCGGCTGTCATGGACTCTACCTGGCCATCCAGCTATAACATGTGTGAAGAGCATATTAGAGATACAAACACCTTGCTGGATTATTGAATGCACTTGCTTTCTATTGAAATAGGCTCCAGGATCCTTAGATGGTGCAGGAATTAGAATGTGCGTTCCATCTATACATCCTATTATTCCTGGGAATGGTTGAAAATCTTGGGCAACACCTTCATACTCATCAAAACTTGGCCATTTTATTAATCGAGGTAAAATAACAATTGTTAGTATCTACAAATTTTATTTCGGGTTTTAAATGTAGCAGAGTCGGTTCTATCAAATCTGTCAGCAATACAGCGTATGGTTTGTTGACTATCAAGCCACATCAATGTAATTAGCAATTGTTCTTCTATTTTAATTGGGGGTCTCCCATGGCCATCGGTTACTGGGTTAGCTCCAACATTTCTAATAAGTTGGAGTAATTTTTCAAATGTAGTTGGTTCTAGTCGGAAAAGGCCTACCTGTATTATTCAATGATACTTCACACTCTTGCCAGGTAAAACGGCAAAAATCATGTCACACAACAAAATAAATTATGTATATATACATACACCATAAAGGCATAATACATGTCATGTATATTATAAATTTGACGTAAATAGACATAAATAAAAAACTTACAACGCAAGCAATGCTGGCACAGTAATAACTATCAGCTTGCTCTCTTCCTCGTCCTCGGATTCAAGCAAATCGATGACTGCCATTAAAGCCGCCATGTGTATTTTCCGAAGATCTCTCCGAATCTATTCTATTTAAGTACTCTCCGCGGATTCGGCGGAGACATCTCCGCGGGGAGCATAAAGAATACACCCACAAAGTTGAACAGGAATGTTCCTTACTGTTTGCATCTAATTCTGTTATGTAAGTGTCGAAATGGCAGACATTTTCGACCAGTGAACTCTTTCTCTGATAAGAGTTTTGACTCGGAAACCTTTGAAGATGTTCTTTCGGTATCTCGTTAGGAATGTAACTATATTAGGCCTAAATTTTCCTTACTTCACTACCCAATAAAACTTTACGGTAAGGTTTAAAAAATGAATTGTAGGGTACATGGAAGTTATTGGTTTCACTTAATCTTGATCTGGTTGCTTTTTTGTTCTTCATCATTGTCGTGGAAGATCTTGGAAATTCCTTCAACCTTCTAAATGTTGTTATGTTGCTATACTTTTAAAAAAAAAACGAATAATTTTCTAGAATAGGGAAATATTAAAAGTTCAACCTTATTGTCGTTGTTGATCTTAACACATTAGTCTAAGATATGACGCCGTTGCAGATACATTATTCGTATAAGTTATATTTAGTAAAGTCTTCATTTCAAAGACTATATATTTGTAATTATTTATCTATTTGTCATTATGTAGAGTCTGGTTTAATTAGAGTTTTGTAACTTTGTAGATTTAAGAATAGATTAATTAATATACAGAACACTTGTCGTCCAAGTGGTTGGGAAGCCCTTTCTATGGTAAGCTTATAATTAACTGAAGTAACATAGTTTACCTGTATCCATTTAGTTCATATATATATATATATATATATAGTTTTAACTACTGTGCATTTGTTCTAATGTGAATTGTTATTTCTATTACACAACAGTCTAAATTCCATGTCCCCGTCCAAACACCACCCCATCCCACCCTACCCAATATGTGGATAATCATCGTATCGTTGTTAAAGAAACATGCCAACGTAAGTAAAGTAAATAAACCGAAGCCCCGTGTGCTACAGGCATTGCATCGATCATTGGAAATCAAAAACTGGTAGGCCCATCCCAGTCATTGCACACTGCATGGTATTGATCGTCTTAATTAGCACAATAAGGTACAGATGAGCAGAACGTAGAAGAACGGTTCAAATGATAGTGATGTGTTCTTCCTCTGAATACTACTATGATACATTTGGGCTCCCCTAGAAATACGATGTTGATTGAATCAATCTATTTTCGTTAAATTATTTTATTCAGAACTTAACGTTAAAATTAGCAGAGAGTTCCATCTTACTAATTACAGTTTGGTAACTGATACAGATGTTCGCACCTTTGTTGACTCTCATTGAAACCAGTTCCATGTGCACAAGGCATCGATACGTAGGTTCCATGTACACATTGCCTAAATCGCTTGCAGTCATTTGGATCAATGACAAGAGTTGTGTCCCCCGGAACACAGGTTGCTATAAAACAGTAAATGAAAAAACAGTGATGATCTCCATTCTTTTAAGAATATAACCATAATAACATATGATTGATTGTGTATATTAGATACTAACAAACTGTCAAATGATACAACAGAACGCAGTCAGAGACACGAGAATATATAATATACACAAAGAGTTTTTACCAGTAAAATAGTTAAAACATATTAAA